TTTTTTAAGCAAAAGAATGTGCGATAAATAAACGGCTATGTTACGTTCTAGAGCCACTCAAAAAGAGTGACTACAAATGTCACACGCTCAATTTGGACACTTACGGTGCTGCGTTCGTAAAATTAATAATTTCTATTCTCCTTAACCCCGGTAAATCTTCCAACCCGGTCTCGATCCCAACTCATCCTTCCGTCACATCAATTGCAGGGTGCAAGTTTAGTTGATTTTAAGCGATTGAGTTTCGTAGTCACTCTTTTTAAGTGGCTCTAGAACCTAGCCGATAAATAAATTAAAAAATATGCTATACAAACATTTAAATTATTGGACGACATGAGAACTATTGACACGAGTTCATGTTAGATTTTAATATATCTTTGATTTTGAATATCAAGCTCATTATATTTTCTTATGCTAAAATCACAAGTTGTAATTAACTTCTTTTAAAAACTTTTAAATAGTTTTAATAGGATTTTTAAGTTAAATTCTAAACACATCTATTACTTATTTTTTGCAGAATAGTGTTTTGAACTCTTTAAATTCTGATATTTTTTTCTAATTAAACATGCTTCTATTTTTTAAAAAAAATTAATCATCTAAATCACTTTGTTCTTAATTTTTTCTTTTCTATTTTTTTAATTTACTACTTCTGTCCAAAATGATTTACCTTTTTATTATTACTTTTTTTATATAAATTTTTAGTGTTTGCATGCTTTCATTGATTATTTGATCAGTGGCGGACCCAGACTCTCAAATGAGCTAGCGGTGTCAAGAGTTAAGGGGCAAGAACTTCTCAGGCAGAATATGTGGGCATGTGATGAGAGTTCGCAAGTAGCGTCTCCAAATTTCTTTTACAAACATAATAAGAAATAACAAAAAATATTAAACTAATAAATTTTATCTTTAACGTTTAATTAATTAAAATAACATAATGAAATGACATTACTATTATTTATAAAAATGATAGCAGTAGAAAATATTGAAGTTAATACACATTGAAGTGGTTGATAACTAATTTTTTTAAACACAATAAGAAACAACAAAAAACTCCGGAGTAATAAACTTTCCTCAAATATTCAAATGATTCAAAATAACACAGTTATGGAGTAGAAAGTATTATTATTAATTATTTAAAAAATTGTTAATACCTAATACTGTTTTTAAAAAAATTCAGTGGTGACGGTTGCAGCACCTGACCCCCCTAGGTCCACCCTTTCATTTGATGAAATCAAATAATCTTGTGACTTCTTTTTGTAGAAATTTTGATATAGTTTTTAAACATGTAAATCTTATTTTTTATTTCTATGCCAATTTGTTAATAAAATCATTATAAAGATCATGGAATTTCGCAAGTCGTTCAAAAAGGGAATATAATTTTGGAACGGATGTTCAAAAAGACAAATCTAGTAAAATTATTAATGTATCAGTAGTTATTAGTTAATGTAAATCTTATATAATTAATAGTCAAAGTTAATGGAAAAAAGACTAAAGTAGAAATAAAGCATTAAAAATATACCAAAATAGGAGTGCCATGTTTTTATTCTCAAAATAAGAACTAAAATGCATTTGCAATGTCATTTATGATTATCTACATTACCTAAAAGTACTGTGTAATATTCATGTATAATGTCACATTAGCAAAGTGCAAACTTTTAGAAATATAACATAACATTTATTTTTAAAATTAAATATAAGTTCCACGTATAAGTTTCATTTATCTCCAAAATATGAATTTGGACTGTGACATTATGACACTATATAGTGGCATCACACTGTAATTTTTTGTACTATGCATTCGTATTATACTCTTATTTTAGAATAAAAAACATGAAACTCATATTTTAGTTTTTTTCGCATTTTTACTTCTAGATCTAGCAATAAATGACCCGACCTATTTTTGACCTTAATCCCGACCCGAAAATAGTGAGTTTTGAACAAAGGTATTGATGACTAAACCCGAACTTGGCCATACCTGAAATGACCCACTAAAAAAGGGTCAAATCTGATCAAACCCGAACCCGACCTAACCGACCCACTAATTTAAGAGTTTTTCAAAATCATATAATTTACTAATCAATTTTAGTGTATAAATTTATATTTTTAGACAAAATTTTAATGATATTGCATAAAGATCTTACTTTCTTTCTAAAACTTATCCATTTTTTAATTCTTTATATTGATTTATATATCTAAATATTATTTAGAATTTAAAATAAAATAATTTAGAAGATTTAGTACATGTTTTTTTGATGTTTCAAATTTATTCAATACAAAATGCAATCGTTAATGTGAATTTAAAATTTTTAAAACCAAAGTCATAATCCGTTAGGTCGATTCGAACCCGATGACATTGAACGTACAGTTCTCAACCCGAACCCGAATTGAACTCGAAATAACATGAACCCGAAGTGACCATACTCGAACCCAACGGACCAATTTGCCAGCTCTATTTACTCCTAATTTAATTCTTTTTACCTAAAACAAAAATTACTCTATCAAAAATTAGAATAATAACGTGGCAATCCATTGGGTGAGGGAGGAAGTATTAAACAACACAATTTTTCCTTAAAAGATGCGACCGGACAAGGAGAGTGCCAAAATGCCAAACTTTTTCTCTCTTTATCCATAAGCAGTGTTTACTTGCACTGCACAAATATTCTCTCTCTCAATTTCTATTTATTCCCCTTGTGAAAATGACTCCCATTAACTCATTCTTATTCCTCTACACTTCCTAACCAGCCAATTAGAATCTTTGTTTTAACCCTTTGGTTCTTTAAATTAATAAATACTCATCCGATCCATTCAATAATCCAAAAGAAAAAAAAGCCCAAAACCCAAAAACCAAAAAGAAAAAATCAAATGGCTTTTGCCCCTCCTTCCTTTGATGTGTGGGCATGGATCCAAAACCTCCCACCAATCACACAATGGAGAAGTGACTCATTTTCCATGCCAATTTGTTGTTCTTCTTCATGCCAACCTTCCCTCAAACTCTCCATCACCAAATCCCATGACTACAAAATCCACTTGACCATTTTTGTAGACTACAATCTCCCCATTGTTCTATGGGCATCAAAGCCAACACCAATCGCCTCAAAACCCACAATGAAAGGATTATTGGACCGCGACTTCGTCTTCCGTCTACTACACAACATCGTCCAAGTCGTCTTGAGCTACGGCCCAACCAGGCGTGCTTGGGCCACGCTCAGGTTGCCGACCCTACACTTTGATGATGCCAATGCCAGAGACGTCTTCAACATCTCGTTCCTCACCCTGGCCTTCATCATATGCATCTACGAGTGCCCTCAAGACCTCAGGGCCACATGCATTCGCGCCCTGAAAGACCAGTTCGCGAGCTCACGATCCAGGACTTCGTCCGTGCTCCTCATGCGTCTCCTAGGGTCAGACACAGAGGAGCAGTGGATGCGGTCCGTGAACCTCGCGATCACGAACTGGATCGTGGAGCTACAGTCCAGGAATAACCAAACGGTTATAAGGACTCCTTCGACGCTGTTTTCCTACGCGTGCTCATCTTTCGGGCTTTGGAAAGTACAATTGTATTGTCCTATCATAGCCATGGACATTGAGAAATGTAGTCACCCTTCCCCTGATGAGCCCTTGCGCTTTTCCCTCAACTATCATCAATTAGAAGGTGTTATTCAACTGAACTACAAGGTTTTAATCCGAGAGAACTGGATTGACGTCATGGTCAACACAGATAACATAAGGTACTTTGGTTTTTTTCTATAGTTTAACATAAGTATAAATTTGCCTTTTTTTATAATCTTCATTCCATATGATTGATTGTGTTTGATTATTATTTTTCCCTTTGCCCCTTATTAACCTTCTCATGTGAAAATGACGTGAATGGAAGAAGTAAAATTGAAAAAAAATTATCTAAATTCCCTTGCCTAACTTTTTGAGTATAATAAAAGTGAAGTAAAATGTATTACCTATGTCTCATAGGAGAAAGACCAGAGTAGGACTAAAATATTGAAAATATACCAAAATAGGACTACCATTTTTTTAATCCCGAAATAGAACTTACATTATCAAAAAAGTATAGTAATGTACACATGTACAGTGCCACATTACCACAATGCAAAGTTCTATTTCGGAAAAAAAACATGAAAGTCATATTTTGGTACTTTTCTCTAAGTTTTAGTCCTATTTAGGTTGATTTGTAATGTCTCTCATATCTTTTCTTTTCGTTCTGACTTGACACGCTTTTAAATGTAAGATGAAAATATGTTTATTTTTTTCGTGGTGTGCTAAATTGAAGAGATGTTAAAAATATCTTCCATTTCAATTCATTGATTTTTTTGTAGGTGTGATGTTATTAGGTTGGTAGATGAAGCTCTAATGAATGGGAGAGGAGCAGGGGTATCTGAAAAGCATTTCCCTTCAAGAATATCCCTTAAACTCACCCCAACCCTACAAACTAACATCATAAGTGTGTCCCTAAATAGGTCCTCTGAAAACCCCATAACAGAAATAGAGATAGAGAGGACTGTGGAAGCATCATTTGAACCTCCCAACCTTGGGCTTGGACTCAAGGTCTGTTGGGATATCTCTTGAAAACTTTCTTCTTAATTATTTGAATTTTTATGGTTTCCAGTGCGATATTTTGATTAAAAATCTCAGTTTATATGTAGGTATATATTATACAAATAAAGTTCCACTAATCCAGAATTAAAGTCTACGTTAATTTTTTTGTCAAATTGTGATCTTCTTTGATCACAAAATAAAAATCGTTTTAAATAAATAAATGTAATTAACTTTGATATATCAAATTATATATATATATATATACATTTATATTTATATATATATGAGAATAAAGCTAATTATATTAAATTTATAACATAATTAATTTTTTCATAATTTATAGTCCAAGAGTATAATAATTTAACAAAAAAAGTCAAAATAGACCTTACTATTTGGACATTGTAGAGTAGTATTTAGAAACTACATTTGATAACATATATATTCGTATTAAATTTATATCATATGAAAATGTGTTTTTCTATGTAATATATTTTCCGGTCAAAGTTTTAAAATATTGACTAAGAAAAGTGGAATGGCAAGAATTTTTTTTGAACGGAGATAGTATTAAATATTAATTAACTTTGCAGTTTATGGAGTATTTTATTTTAATGGTTTGAAAATAAAATAAGAACAAAAGAAGAGATTAGAAAGTTGTTTTTGAGAGTATTTTTTTTAGGAAAGAGAGACTACTAATTGTTTAAATATTGTGTTGTACTCCAATTACCACTACATCTCTACCATACAATCTCAAGTATGAATAAAAAGATTAAAAAGTGAATAAATATTAAAGAGAGATGGTAGGGGTACACTAAATGTGTACCATAAATATACACCATGCATTTTGTTACCACGCATATTTATTTATTTTTTCTTTTTTCTTTTACATGCATAAGTGTGTGGTGTTAAAGTACTTAGGGTATACTTTTGGTGTACCTCTAGGGTTTCAATATTAAATGGTGAGAATTGGTGGTGTACAAAGAGAGTAGACCAAATGGTGTACCTCTAATAAAGTTAAATATGTTTTTAATCTCTATAAAATAAGAGATTTTTGTTTTTTGTACTTGTAAAATATTTTTTGTTAAAATCATCCTTACAAAATTTTTTATTTTGAAAATGGTCCTTATAAGTAATTAAGATTTTTAATTTGTTGATATAGCATATTTATTTGGTACTCAACATCTAAGTTTTGCAATTCTAATTACTTCACACTCAATTCTCATGGTCTAAATTGTGTCACATTTATCAAACTACATCTTCAATTCTCAATTTTTTATTCATTTATATTTCTAAGAAATTTGGAAATTAGAGATCTAATATGAATTAGTAAAAATTTGGAGCTTGGAAATTACGTCAGACATAATTAGAAAATACAAGACTAAGATGTTGAGTATGAAATAAATTAAATGTGATATCCCATATTAATAGAAGTGCTAATTACGTATAAGAACTATTTTCGAAATAAAATTTTTTGTAAGAATGAAAATACATTTAACCCATTTTAATATTAGGGTGCGTTTATATCTAATCACATTTTGGCTAAATCCACTCTATTTATGTTAAATTGACAATTTACCATAAAAATATATTGTACAAAATAAAACTTTTTAAGGTAAAACTGTCGACTTGGGACCGGTATTTTTTTGGTTGAAAAAGCTAACTTTCAATTTTTTGTAATTATTTTCAGTTTCTCCCAATTCTTCTAAATTTGCTTCTAGTTTTTCTTCACATTTCATCCAACTCTTTATAGTTTTTATCCAAAATTAGTTTCCTTGCATAATTATATGGGAAATCATTTAATTTAATGATTTTTTAACACTTCATTTTTTTCAACATTTTCCAACTCTGTCAAGATTATTCCAATTTTTTTTGCTTTTTTCTAACATCCAGCTGTAGAATTCCAACCAAAAGGAACAAATCTTTCATATAAACCAAGTGAATTTCACAAAACAAAGTGTGGATTTTTCCACACCCTTAATAGTATTGTGAAAAGTTAAATTCAATTGGACGGATTAGCTTTTTTCCATAGTTGTGACCAGTTTTTACGAAAAAAAGAATAGTGTGTTGATCTTTTATTATTTTTTTTTTGTACATTTTTCTTCCCATTTTAAACTTTGAGTATGGTGTTTGGTAATTCTTTCCAATAAGGTTGGGGGAGGTGAAACCGTGGTGACAAGCCTCAAACCATGGAAGTTCGAACAGTCCGTGAAGGGAGACAGCTCATGCTTCAACTGGTTTTTGCACGATAACGTAGACGGGAGGGAAGTCTTCTCGTCGAAGCCCTCGAAGCTCGCGATGATGAACCCGAGGGCTTGGTTCAAAAACCGCTACTCGAACGCTCACCGGCCCTTCACGAAGCAGGGAGGGGTGGTGTTTGCGGGCGACGAGTACGGGGAGAAGGTGGTGTGGAAGGTGGAGAAGAGTGCCATGGGGAAGACTATGGAGTGGGAGCTGAGGGGATGGATTTGGCTAACTTATTGGCCTAATAAACAAATGACATTTTACAGTGAGAGCAGGATGTGTGAATTCAGAGAAGTTCTTCATCTTTCCCTTGTCTAGACAACCAAAGCTAATGAAGATGTGTGTATGTATGTATATATATCCCGATTATATTATTTCACTAAATAACACTCATTGACTATCATGTACAGATGAAATTCACATATATGTGTATATGTATCAAAATTGCTAGCTAGTGATTACTACGATGAATGAACTTTTAGGCGTATTTGGTAAGTAAAATACATGTAAGTTTTAATATTTCTTGATATCAGAAATATTTTATTCGTACTTGATGATGTCTAAAAATGTTTCGAATTTGATATCTTCTACTATAAAAAAGATACAGGTAGTTGACATGGTATTTGATTAATTATTTATTACTCCCTCCGTCCCAGAGTATTTGTCCACTCTCTTTTTTACACACCATCAAATGCACTTTTTTAATTCATTTTATCTTGTAATTTGTATATTAAAAAATTATAGAAATTATATATTAATAATCTATATGTTAAGACAAATCAAACAAGATCACACATGACTATATTTAAGCTTACACATTGAGAGAATTTGATGAATCAAAGTGCTTAGATGAACAGTTCCAAAAGTCAAAACCGGACGAATATAGCGGGACGGAGGTAGTAGTTAGTATTTAATACTCTACGAGAATTTATTATTTATTATAATCTTGTTTTTATAGGTCAGCGGAATTAAAAGCTCATTCAAGAAATAATTTTTGGTTCTTTATCTCGATGCATTTGTTGAACCAGCATACTTAGTATTAGGGGTTCGTATTCTCGTTAGGATTACAGTTCAATTACAAATAGAGATGTACCCTCCCATGTTTCTCTTGTAGCTCAGAAGCGCTCGAAGTTTTCTATCATGGAGCTTGAAGACGCTCGATGTACTTCCCATTTCCAATACATTTATGAAATATTTGCACTAAATAGCACTAAAACTTAAGTCATTTCCCTAAATATCACTTAAACTGTTTTATTCCCTAAATAGCACTGAATAATGTCCATAATGTCTAGTGATGGCGAATATTTGCTTGAATAATGACTAATGCATAATGACTAAAAGTGCTATATTGGGAAGAAAAAACACATGTTGTGCTATTTAGGGAAAGTCATTATGTTTTAGTGCTATTTAAGTAAAATACCTCTATATTTAACATATCAAAGTGCTTTCATTGAGATGACTCATCAAAAAATTGTTTCATTTCAACGTTCTCTCTTCTTCCTATCGTCGCACGATCGGTTGGTGACGCCGAGTCAACACCATGGCTGCTCTTAGACAATTAAGGCCATCCAATTGTTCATTCTTGTGACAATGTATTTATGTATATTTGTATTTCATAGTATTTTTAAATATCATCATATCTGTTAATATTTCTGACATTGCAATATATTTTTTGATAATAAAAGTATGGAACCCCTGGATACTCAAAAAGCGTATGATTCAGTAAGTTGGAAATCAATCAAGGGTATATTACAGGGACTGAAGTTTCCCACGGAAGTTCATTAAGTGGGTTCTGTTTTGCAAAGCAGATCCCAAGTCTGTTAACTGTATTATGAATGCCTTGGAGGAGTTTCAACTCACTACTGGGCTAAAGATTAACAGGAACAACTCTAAGGTAGTGTTTGGGGGAATTAGGAATGACACAGAGAGCAGAGGTTGCTGGAAATGACTAATTTAAAGCAAGGTAAGTTTCCTTTCAAATATTTGGGGTCTTCTACCACTGCTGCTAGAGTGAGAGCCCATGAATGTGATGCATTGATCACTAAGCTTACTGCAAGAATAACAATATGGGGAACCAGACATTTTTCTTACATAGTTAGGGTTAGACTAATAAACTCAATGCTGATGGGAGTAGTCTTTTTCTGGGCGAGAATCTTTATCCTGCCCAAAGGAGTGATGAAGAAGATAATGAAAATTTGTAGGAACTTCTTGTAGAATGGTACAACAGATCAGAATACAAAAAGGCACCCCTAGTCAAATGAGATGAGGTATGCCAATCGAAGAAGCATGGTGGTTTGGGGATAAAAAATGCATTGAATTGGAATTATGCACTTATTATGAAACTAAATTGGGACAAAGCTAAAAAGAAAGACATTTTATGGATTAGATGGATACATGCAAGGTATATTAAAGGGGGTGATTTCTGGTGCTACAAGCCTAAGCAAGATTCTTGTCACTATTGGAAGGAAATGATGAGGGTTAAGGATAAGTTTGTAGATATGCCAATTAACTACCTTATGCCATAGGTAAAGGATATGAATGGCTTCAAGGTGAAAGGGAAAAGCCTGTGTGGAGAGATTGGGTTTGGAATAAATATACCCCACCCAAATTTAGATTCATAATATGTCTGTTTTGGAAGGGCAGATTGCAAACAGAGGATAGAGTTGGTAAGTATATGAGTATTAACACAACCGGTGAACTCTGTGGTAGAGAGGCAGAAACTATGCAGCACCTTTTCTGGCAGTGTGAAGAGGCTATGTCACTGGCTGCTGTGGTAATGAACGAGTTTAACCTACAAATCTACGCTGGGCGTGGTGAGGATTTTGGGAGAGCAGTGCAAGCTATAACAGGTGGGAAGCAAATAAAAGGATAGATTGCACTGTGGGCTACTTGTGTATACCAAATTCGGAGATGGCCTAAAGGAATGATAAAATGCACCAAAATAAGGGAGAAGCTGGAATGCCTACTCATCAAGCAATAGTTTATATAAGGAGTTATTTAGACTATATGAAGACTTTGTAATATGTAGTAAGCATATGTGGTAGGAATTTAAATGCGCTATATTACGTTTAAACTGATGCTTTGGAAATAAAGTGTGTGAATTATGTGCAAAAAAAAAGAACCCTGGGTTTTCCTTAATTTGAAAAAATATAAGTCCCATCCTCGAGAATCAAACTCAGTTTGATGATCCTTGAGAGAAGTTAATTGATTTTTGATCGCAAATTGGTGGTCAAAAGTGAGGCCTGCACTGAATGTTGCAGAACCCATATGCTTAGCATCGTTGCCTCCAATCACATTTGTTATAAAGCAAACTCGAGCCTTACTTTCTTACACTCCTTACTTTGCCAACTGCCCAACACTACTGACTTATTGAAATGAGGAGATTATTGGAGTGGCGACTATGGACGTTTATTTAATTTTTTTACTCCCTCCGTCCATTAAACTCCTTCATTTTTTTCTTGTCCTACTAACTCTTTTCCTTATCTATTAAAAAACCACTTTATCCTTTATTTTTCATTCTTACCTATCACATCATATCTTTTTACCACGAATCTATCTATTACATCAAATATTTTTATTGGAATACTTATTTCCGGCTTGAAGAGGCTTTATAAACCTTACTAGCCCTAATTTAAACTCACTCATTTCCGATTCGCCTTTTAGTTGCTCTCTGCCTGCGGCGAGCCGACGGTCGACGATCTCTGCCTTCCCGGCAATCCGACGGGCGACGACCTATGCATTTGCGACAAGCAGACATTTGCTCTGCTTTCCCTTAGATCCACCGACCAACTCTTCAAAGTCCGACGCGGCGACGCCTTCAGCGACCACCGACCAACTCTTCAAAACCCGACCAACCGGTATCATCCGATTGAGGTTTCTTATCGGTTTTTAATTACTACGGGGTAATATAAAACTATCTGGAATTTTAATTGTTTAATTCCTTTCGTATTGTTTTAAAATTTTAGTCTTAACCCTAATATAGTAATCAAATTGGGCAATGCAATTGTTTATTTCATTTCTTTCAACTTTTTGCTAATTAAATCCTTCATACTTCAGATCCTATTTCTTATTATTTTTCTCATAATTATTCTTTAATATTTTCCCACAAACAGTAGTATTTTTGCCTTATTATTTTTCAATATTATTAGTTGTAAATTAAATTATTCTTTAATATTTTCCCACAAACAGTAGTATTTTTGCCTTATTATTTTTCAATATTATTAGTTCTAGGCCTCCTTTAGTAAAATCTCTTATACTATGCTTGGTTCAAAGAATTTGCAAGAGAAAAGAAAAAAATTTGATGGGGAAAACAATTATTCATGTTTGGTTAGAGAGAAAAAAAGTGGAAGGAAAAGTAAATGAGAAGACAAATTGTTCTAAAAGGAGGGTGGAAGGAAAAGAAATTGAGAAAACAAATGCCGACCCTATTTCTTACCACGCTTGATGCACTCAAGTGTGGATTTGAGCGCTAATGACAAGCTTGATCTTTTTATTTCAAGGTGTTACATGTTTATAATTTCATCTCTTCAAAATATTGATAATCATTTAATATGAGTTCCACCTTTTTTCCTAGTAATGAAATGGTTTTTCCACCATCGATGAGGCCTTAAATATGTAAAGTCAACAAAAGTGCTTTGATTATTAGTATTTTGTTATAAAGATCTTTATTCTAACAGTTGAATTGCACAATAGTAATTGTAAATGAAAGAAAAACTAACTAAAGAGATAAGCAATATGTGTAGCTATGTTATGTATATGGGGCTATGCAAACGGCAGGCATATGTCTACTACTTAGGTGCATTGTAACCAGATTTTTCTTTAAAGTCATGTTATTCCAAATGATTTTCAGAAGAATGGGCAGGTTTGCAGGAAAGGGCGGCTTTGCAGGACGATAAACCTTATGGGTCTAGTTCTTTTATTCATATAATGGTAGATTAACGAGTAATTATTTCCTATGGCGAGTAAATAATGTGTGCCAGATGATGTTTGGGACATTGCTCAAGGGCTTTGAGAAAACTGTGAGAAAACATTGTATTACATCCCATCTGATGGCAGACTCTCGTTCCATTTGTTTCCATGTTATTCTCTTGGTATCTTTTGATGAAAATTAAACTTCCTAGGTCCCCAATCGGATGTCCTGTTGTTTCTGAGTGACATTATTTTCAATTCAATTTCTTTAAATATTGGGATAAAATTTAAAAATAAAATTTATAGATTTAGAAATTCAATCTCTCCCTCCCTCCCTCCCTTGCTTCCATGTCTTTCTCTATGTATATTTTGATGAAATTCATAACAACACAGTTGGATCCCACACGAGTAGGGTCTGGGGAGGGTGTGTACGCAAACCTTGTCCCTACTCGAAAGTAGAGGATGAAATTTATAGTTGCTATTTATTTATTTATTAGATTGGATTACTACAAACGTTTAGGTATGCTATCACTTATTAGGGGTGATATGTGGTTATCTGAGTCATGTTGCCATAGTGGTGAAAGGCACTGGCACATGGTAAATCCCATCATAGATGTTGAGCCAAACAATTTATGTTGGTGCTCGTTAGTGCTTTATCAGCAGGATTGAAGTCTTGTTTTCCAAATTTATTTACCTGGGAAAGTGGAAGGTTTGCAGGATGCCAGGATCGTAAGCCGTATGAATCTTGTTCTATCATTCCTATGATGGTATATTCACTAGAAATTCATGCCAACTGTGAGTAATTAAGTATCACCTGCCAGATGATGTTTGGGACATTGCGCAAGGGCTTTGAGTCTCCGGAAGTGGAAACTGTGAAAAAACATTACAATATATCCATCCCATCTGATGGCAGACTCTTGTTCCATCACTTTCAGTTGCCTTTTGTTATCTCTCTCTCTCTTGCTTCCATATCTTTCTCCATGTATGTTTTGATGAAATTTATAACAACCCAGTTTGATCCCACACGAGTAGGGTTTGAGGAGGGTGTGTGTACACAGACCTTGCACCTGCTCGAAAGGGGAGGAAGAAATTTATAGTTGCTACTTATTTATTTGTTTATTTAGATGCTTGGTGTGTGTACACAGACCTTGCACCTGCTCGAAAGGGGAGGATGAAATTTATAGTTGCTACTTATTTATTTGTTTATTTAGATGCTTGGTGCTATATTTGTGTTTTTATTAGTGCTTCTTTGCTTTCTGTATCCCTTGTGATCTTCTATTTGTGCAACTGAGCCGGGGGTCTCTTGGAAACAGCTTCTCTAGGGGCAAGGTTTGCGTACACACACCCTCCCCAGACCCAACTTGTGTGAGATCCAACTGGGTTGTTGTTGTTGTATTTATTTATTTGTTTATTAGATTGGATCACTACAAACGTTTAGGGATGCGATCACTTAGTAGGGGTGACATCTTATGTGGTAATCTGAGTCATGTTGCCATAGTGGTGAATGGCACTGACACACGGTAAATCCCATCATAGATGTTGAGTCAAGACATGAATGAATGGCGCATGTCTAGTTGCACATTAGTGCTTTATGTGCAAAATTGAAGTCTTGTTGCCCAAAATGATTTTATCGGGGGAAGGGGCAGTTTTGCAGGATTGCAAGCCATATGATTCGTGTTATGTTATTCCTATAATGGTAGATTAATCATGGCAACTGTAAGTAATTAAGTATCTTCTGCCAGATGATGTTTGGGACATTGCGCAAGGGCTTTGAGTCTCCTCTTATCATTTGGGTAGTGGAAACTGTGAGAAAACATTATATCACATCCCATCTGATGGCAGATTTTCGTTCCATCACTTTCTGTTACCTTTCGTTATCTCTCTCTCTCTCTCTCCCCTGTTTCCATGTCTTTCTCTATGTATCCTTTGATGAAATTTAGAGTTGGTATTTATTTATTAGATTGGATTACTATAAATGTTTAGGGATGAAACCACATATTAGGGGGCGACATCTTATGTGACGAATGAAAGGCGCACGCCTAGGTGCGCATTAGCGCTTAAGTGCAGAAGTGGAGACACACCTCAAATGCATAATACTTGCTTTCAAATCAAAAGAAAACCTTTTTAGGGTAAATTGTACTGACCTATTGATCATATACTATGTCAGTGTCCCTCTGAGTCAAACATGCAATATTCTCTAGTACGGCGGTCTAAATTGCCCTCAACCAGTCATATATAAATCAGGCGGCTGTAAATTGTTTATGGTAAATAAAACAATCAAATTTGGTTTTGATAGTGATATTATTATTATTTTTCATCTCAGCGTCTCTCTTTGTTCGTTCTTTGGACATTTTTCTTACTGGTGTGAGTTCTCTCTCTTTTTTTTGTTTTCTTTTTCGCTCTTTTTCTTCATGCCATTCTTTTCTCAGATTTTACTCAGCTATCCTGAAATAAAATGGATATTGATCTGTCTGTTTTTCAATTTTAATTTCCCGCAGATCAGTAGATTTTGGGATCTTTTCATTTCACCTAAATACTTAGTTTACTGTCCACTGATTGTATTGTAATCTTTGTATTTTTAGGTGTGTGTGAGTGTGCTTTTTTTTCCAGTCATATTTGTGATAGTCATTTGATATTTGTTCCTCTTCCATCAATTCTTTTTTTTCCCTCCATTAAATAAAGTGGTTTTGAATTCACTGATGTGGCTTTAAACAGCTCAAGCTGTTAGAAGTATTCTGATTTATAATACTCTGTATTTTGTTAAGATGATTTCTTATCTGACAGTTGAGTTTGCACTACTATTGTAAATGGAAAGGTTTAGTAATAGAGGATTTAAGCAATGTTTAGCTATATACAAGGTTATGCAAAAGATGCACTTTTTCCAAATTCTAATGCTTAGGTGCATTGAAACCCGATAATCCTTTGAAGACTTACAAAAATAGCAGAGGAGTGGAAAGCTAGTTTAACTAGTTTAAGGAGGCTATCTTTCCTGAATAAACCTATAGTGAAACGAATAAAGAAAGATATTTACTAATGAACATTATATACGTTTCAGGGTTTACACACAAGTACGACCAATTGCCCCCACCTTGTCGCCTTAAATGATTTTCCCTGAGAAAGTGGGAGGCAATGAAGGATCGTAAACCTTACGGAACGGTTTTATTATTTTTATAATGATAGACAGATGGGTTTGCAAGAAATGCATGCCAATGGTTAGTAAGACCTGCCAGATGATGTTTATTAGGACATTGCTCAAGGGCTTATGACTAGGCAGACATAACTTCCCTAACCCAGACCCCATACCTCCCTCTCTTTCTCTCTGGATATATCTAAACATAATCTGAAAAATAAGTGTGAGCATTGGTGAAGATTACAAAGAGAGACATATACTAGTTATTGCTTGGCAGTTAATTGTTTAAAATAGGAACTGGATAATCTCTTGAACAATAGGGAGGAACTAAAGTTGGTTGCTAATTTTGAGAATACGAAGGTCTTTGTTTTTTTTTCAGGGCACATGAAATGAAACATATCGTGAAAATATTTACAATTCTGGTGGCTGTATCTGCCCTTTGGACGTGGTTGCTAAAGACGGCTGTTTTACCAGAAAGTTATACTTGGTTGGTAAGAATAGTTTCCTCTTCTTGCTCACCACTTTAGTCTAATGTTTATAATCTTAAGATCTAAGTTGGGTTATTGTTTTACTTCTCTGCCAGCTCCCAATCTACTTCGTCGTGTCGCTAGGGTGTTATGGGCTAGTAATGGTTGGAGTAGGCCTGATGCAGTTCCCTACTTGTCCCCAAGAGGCAGTTCTTTTACAGCAGGTAAGAGTTTACGTTTCGTTTACCTCTTTTTTTTTCCGGGTGGGTTAGGGCCCGCACTCTCTTCGTATGACCAAATAATGCTTTCGTTTTAAAGGAACGAGTGTGTTTCAGAACGATATGGAAATGCTAGTACAGATTTAGACAGGTGGTGTGATATATTGAAACAAAAGTGATTTATTTGTACAAATAAGGTGGAAGGAACATAATCTATTATTTCTTTTTCTTTAAAAAAAAACCAATTTTCCAATAAGCCTCCAAATCCTGTAATTAATGCAGGTTTTGTCATTTGTGCCCAACATATATTGCAATTTGTTTCTTTCTTTCTTTCTTTTAGTTGGTCATATGCAATGTGGATATACAACAACAATAACATTACCCCAGTGCCTCAACGGCTCCTGTCCATTGCGGGTTGGGGTGGGGGGGTCAAATGTACGCAGACGCAGTCTGACCCCTATGTTTAAAACATAGAGCGGTTGTTTCCAGATGACCCATGATGAGCGTCGAAAGTTGCATTGACTAAATGCTACTTCACAGTTTAGAGAGCCAATTTGCTTTATTCCATCATATCCCAGAGCCAAAAAATAGTGAATCTTCGGCTCATTATATGCAATGTGGATATATACATACTAATTTTGCAGTCATGTTTTGTAGGACATTCTTGAAGCCCAGACCTTCCTGAAGACAAGAGGAGTTGATGTTGGTTGATCCATGGATGGTAACTGCCCAAAAATATTTCTTCTTTCTTGTTATATGAATGAGAGTTTGCTTAAAACTTGTTGGTTTTCACAGCTTTCCCCTATCTTGCACAATGTTTTCATCTCATATGAGAGAGAGAGAGAGAGAGAGATTGCAGTAAAATTCATGAATAACTTTCTTGATAAAAACACCACTTTCTTCCATACTTTTTTTTAAAATTGTGGAGTATACTCTTTCTCTTACACATCAGTGTTACTGTAATCTTCGGTCATACATTCTTACAAGTGAAGGGGTGTACACATGCCAATTTGCCAACTTACTACAATTATTTTTTAATAATTAATTTTTATTTTAATTTAAAAAAAATCTAAACGGTTATGACAATTCATCATAAATCCGTTATCATCTTTAAAGCTTGAAGAACATGACGAGAGTTGAAAAAATTCATTTAATTTGTTTGTATGTATAAGTTGCAATTATTAATGTAAAATTTTTTTATTACAAATATTAGTAGTAATAAATATTGAAATTGTATAGAGAAAGAGAAGGGAGAGAGCAAGCAAATTAAATGAATTTTTTTTGGTACGGAAAGTGAAAGAGCAATATTACCCTTTATACCAAGTTGCCACATGGGCACATTTTTACAAGATTTTGTTTAGAACAAGAAATAATAATAATTATAATAATAATAACAATAATAGTAATAATAATAATAACAATAATACTAATAATAATAATAATAATAATAATAATAATAATAATAATAATAATAATAATAATAATAGTTTTTCTTTATCTTGATCTTAGTTAATTTGTGTGTGATTTAAGAACTTAATTGGACAAGCTGGAGTTGACAAAATATTATCGCAAGAAATAATAATAATAGTAGTGAATAATAATAATAATAATAATAATAATAAGAAATAATAATAATACTTCTTTAATAATAAACGTAAATGGTTGGAGTCAATTTAATGAGTAGGAGGAGTTATTATTGTTGGAGAAAAACAATTATTAAACAGGACGTTACATACATATTTTATGAGAAAATGTCTCTGAATGCTAAATTATTATTATTAATATTTTTTTTTTTGCGTTACATGTAATTAAATCAATTGGTCATCAGCGTATGCTGCTCTCACACACCAAAACGTATAATAATTCGTGTATTCAAAATTGGACAGAAATTAAAAATCAATTAAACCACGACTCATGTATAGGCTCGACCGTACCTGACCGAGCTCGACCGTACCTGACCGAGCCATACAAAAGGAAAAAAAATGTAGCATGACTAAATTAAGAGGCGGTAAAATAGAAGCGGTCATTGTTCAGAGTAAACGGGAACGGGTCGGTCGTTGCGAGGTCAACGACCGACTTGAGCTCATCCCACTTCTGGTCAGTGAACGGGTATCGTCGGTCGTCCGCGTTTGTATTAATATTAATATTATTATTATTACTCTCGTAATAATAATTATTGGTCGGGGAAGACGAGGACGACGACAAAAGGCTTGTCATGGAAGGGCAATAGTAAGAAGGTTGTGAGGGCAAAATGGGAACATTCTCCAGCTGCTGGCCTGAACTGTTGGTTAGGAAGAACTGTTGCAGGCTTCTTTTCTCCTCTTGTGTTGATATTGTTAAAAAGGATTCACTATTGCTATTCTTGTTATTGTTATGGTTCTTTTTTGCCCTTTTTGGCTCTTGATTTGAAGTCCTAGTAGTGTTGCATCTCTTGTAGGTTGTGCTCCTCTTGAAAACCCTACACAATGTCCATATCTCCTGAAATTTATCATAAAATAATAATGGTGTCAGAATTTTGTTTGCCAAGAAGTCACAATTAAAATTTTACCCCCTTAGCTTCATCCCAGAAAATTTTTAACCATTTTTTCTTTTTTAAACGTCCCTTTAAAATATTCCACATTTAGGTCTTGTTTAGTATACAAAATTCAAATTATGGAATTAAAATTGATGACAATAGTTCCAATTCTACTGTTTGGTAGCACAAAAATATGTGAATTTGAAATTGGTAGTGTCAAAAATGAGTTGGAATGAGAGAATTCAATTTTATCCAAATTAATTTAATAGAATTTTAATTTCTAAATTGGTCAATTCTGTATACCAAACGGACCATTAATATATATCCTTTTTAAAAAATAGGACTACTGTATTGTGACAAAGTCATTGCATGTATATTCAGATTTCAAACTATTTTTGGTATTATATATTCATATTATTGACATTATAGGTCATATTTTGGTGATAAAAACATCAAAGTCATATATTGGTTCAATCCATATGTTATACTTCTATTTTAGTAATCGTTTCTTATATTTTTTAACATTTTTCTTAAATACCGTAAAATTTAAACAAATGAAGCTTTATTTAGAACGACCACATATTGATAAAAGATTAATTGCATGTGAAATTTGCACTAAATAGAACTAAAACAAAAGTCATTTCCCAACGTAGGACTTAAACTTTTTTATTCTATAGGACTTAATAATGTCTAGTGGATCGGAAGAAATAATGTCTAGTAATGGTAGACATTTACTTGAATAACGTCTAATAGATAATGACCAATGGTCCTACATTGGGAAATAAAAACATATGGTCCTATATTGAGAAAGTCACATACCGCTTGATCTTGAGCAAATTTTTTATTTGATGAGGCGGGTAGAGGCGGAGGAGCAAGGCGGAACTCATGCATCATCCAATCAGTTTTGATCCCTTTCCCGGCGTTCCCCCGGTAGAAAACCAACGACTTCTTGAGGCCGATGGGGGTTTCCCCGGGAGGCGCGTAGACCGGTTTGTCAATGCCGGTCGCCTTCCAAAACCCGGAACTGGTTACCCGATTCGGCCTCACGCTGTTCTTGTACTTCCTCCCTCTTATACAAAAGAAATACCATTCTTTGACGTTGTCTCCCGCCGATGTGCTCGTAGTCCCTTTTGTTCGTTAAAATTAATTTAACATCAATTAATACATTAGTAATGTATTATAATAGAGTTAATAGTACTAAAAATACAATCATATTAGTAAGATGACTGCATCTCCCAAATTTAATGGGACATATATGAAGATGTAAAATTTTTATTAAATAAGACTAAAACATAAATCATTTCCCAATGTAGGACTTAAAACTTTTTTATTCTCTAAATAGGACTTAATAATGTCTAGTGGAAGTCTGGGAGGAATGATGTCCAATAATGATGGACATTTAGTTGAATAATGACTAACTGATAATTAATGACCAAAAGTCTTACATTGGAAAATAAAAACATATAGTCCTATATTGAGAAAGCTATTATATTTTAGTTCTATTTAAGTAAATTTCTCTATGAAGAATTGTTAACTAAAAAAATACTGCACACATGCACTCCTCTTGGTTGCATTATACTCCGTGTTTTTCATTCATAATACTACCTCCATTTCTTAAAACAGCTACTCTTTTATATTTTTTCGTTTTCTTTAAAACACGTCTTTTTTGTAAAAAAAAATGATTAATATATCTAAATTAATTTGTTACAATATACTCCATTCAATTTGCAATAACATAATAAGTCATTTGTATGATTCTTTTATTTTTTCAATTTTTTAAAATTTGAAATATAAATACTTATTTAAGTAGTAAAGAAATGCTTATTTTGTCCATGGTGGGCTTTAGTTAAATACTTAAACTAACAATCTTTTTTCAAAAAGAAAAAGAAAGTAATGAAAAAAAGCAATCAATCACGCTTTTAGATTGCTGAAAATCAACTTTCCCCCGTTATTTTTGCTTAGTTTTTCCAAACAATGATCATATTAACATTGGTAGAAGAATTTAGAATATTTAGTGGTTGACTAGATGAGATAATCATTATTTGCAAATTAAATCTCTCAATCTTTGATTATTTTAAAGCAAAAAAAAAACGTGACTTTATTTTAATGATTATGACAATTAATTATCACCCATTATTATGCTACTCAACGTAATTTATTATATAATTATTCAGACAAATTTTATAGTACTCGAAGTATATATAAAAAGATTAAAAACTCTATACATCATCATTTCATTTGGCTTCCTTTCAAAAAAAATCATTTCATTTGGCTTGTAATAATTAAGTCAATGTTCAAACATTAAGACGCCAGATAAGCATGTGAAAATTTTAAAAAAATTCATATAATTATGGAATATTATACTAATTGAATTTTTACTAATCTGCACCATATGAGATTTTGTTAGATTTACCTCTATATAAACTTTAATAAAGTTAATCTTTTATTATTAAGAAGAAAAGATAATTCAAGATGATAACAATTTTCTTTATGCAATGTTAAATGTTAGAATTTTCATATTGAATTTATTTATCACGTGATTAGTTCTTTGTATATATTAAAAATAAAATAAAAACAAAATAGATATTATACTCTGTATTATACTCTATCCGTTCCACAAAACCCTTCCGGTTTTGACTTTGGGGAAAAATAAGGAAAGTGTAATTTTGGTTGACTTTCCAATTTTGCCCCTGATGTGATGGGAAAAAGTAAGATGTGATAGTTTGGTTATAAGTGAAAAAGTATGATGTGATAAGTAGGGTATGGAAAAGTAGGGGTAAAAGTGGTTTTTAATAGAAAGTGGAAGTATTTTTTGTGGAAAACAAAAAAACGAAAGAGGAAGGGTTTTGTGAAACGGAAGGAATACAAATATATTTTTTAAAAAGAAAATATTCTTTCACCATTCTTTTGTCGTATAAACTCTCCAATAATTCTTTCAATAATAATAATAATAATTTATATTCTGTACTAAAAATTGTTAAATAAGTTATTTTATGTTACTTCACTCTCAAAATGAAAACCTAAAATGTGAAAGAAAAGAGACTCATTAAGATAACAATAACAATAATATCAACAACAAACTCACTAAATTACTATAAGATCAATTGATGATGGAGAAATAACCACCCGGAAACATTACTATATTAATCATTTGACTAAGGTTCCACTGACACTTGCCAACGATGTCTTTAGCGGTGCCAATGCATTTTTGGAAAACTTCCATTTACAAACTTGATGGTTCTTAACCTACCTAATCCCTTTTCTAAAACCCCTATATCCAGCCTAGCCCCACACCTGCCCTCCACCTCTATCCCTCAAAATGTACGTGTGGCCATTATGCAATGCACCCACATTTAGAGGGGAGTTAGGGCTGGGGGCTGGGATGGGAGGCAATGGTGGGAGGTTTAGAGCAAGGGAGAGATAGGTGGAGTAGAAAAAAACAATTTCACAAACGAATATTGGAGTTATTTAAAAAAACACAATGACAACGTAACGTTGGCTAATGTTAATGGAACCATGCCCTAACCTAAGCGATTTTATGTTTAAACACATTGAAATTAAAGCTAACATTTAACACAATCACTCACACACATAGTATATATTTATTCCTAAATAGATAGAAATGAGATGAAATATATCATATGATGAATTATTAGACAAATAATAACATACTTGGGAGATCCCAAGGATCATATTTGTAGATGTCAACTTGTTTAATGATCTCAATGCTCATTGGCTTGTTTTCCACCTTCCTTGTCAGATAAAACCCTACCAGCTCTTCATCTGTTGGGTGGAACCGAAACCCTGGCAGTACTGTCGAAATTTCTTCCTCTTCTTCTTCTTCTATTTCTATCTCTTCTTCTTTCTCCACTACTCTTTCACACTCTACTTTCTCATATGCTCCCATTCTTTTTTTCTCTCTCTTCTTTAATTCTGTATGGAATAATTAAGAAGTTGCAAAAGTAATTAATATAATGGACAGTTTACTAATTAATTTAATGAAGAAGGTGAGATACAGTACTATGCTTATATAGGGCTGATAGGATGAACCACGGCCGGCCTTGGTGGGTGCCCACCTTTTCAATCCTATATATACACTCACTATCTTTTTCCAATTTTCCCTACTTACATAAATCTCATTAAAATATTAACTCTTATCCCAAAAATTGAATTTCTATGTTTTTATTCATGAAATATGAGTTTAAACTATGACATTATACGTGACAATATATATTGACATTTCACAATGTTTTTTGTTAGGTGAATTCTTATGTGGTCTTAAGGCTCATTATCATTTTATAGACCCTCGTGTATTGATATCATAAAAAAATTTGAACATTTTGAAGAAAAGCCCACTTGCAAACTCATGAAAAGTGTTAGAGGGTTCATATTTTACATGTGGACTTAAGACCATGGAAAACTACTTTTTTGGTAATATGTGAAATTTGCACTAAATAGGATTAAAACATAATGACTTTCCTAATGTAAGACTTAAATTTTTTTATTCTCGAAATAGGACTTAATAATGACCTAGTGAGAGTAATAATGTCCTATATTGGGAAAATAAAAACATATGGTCCTATATTAGGAAAGTCATTATGTTTTAGTCCTATTTAGGTAAATTTCTCATATATGTTACCGTATTGGCATTATAACTCCTATTTTTGGGATAAAAAATAGAATTCTTTTTTTGGTATTTTCTCCATATTTTACCCATATTTTAGTATTTTTCCTTTCCATTGAGAGAGAGAGAGAGAGAGTGAGTGACAGAAAGGCACACACAAACATAATATAGTTCTAATGAGCCTAGAAAATAGAATTTAGAAAATACTTTTTTCGTCCCATAAAATCCTTCATGTTTGAAAAAGGCATGCCTTTAAGACGAGTAATTTTGATTTTATATTCTAATTATGACTTATCTATCTTACCCATCTCATCTTACTCTATTATAAAGTATTGACAAAATTATAAAATGACACCAAAATTACTTATATTAAGGGTGAATCTTTTTTTAAACAGAAAATGCTTAATGAGACGGAGACAGGGGCACACCTAGAACATTTGAACAATGGAATCGCATTTTAGAAAGTTCATATCAAACCATCACATTTCTAACATTAAATAAAAAAGATACTTCATAATATATAACATTCAAATTGACATTTACCATAAAAATCACAAATTAATAATAGTCTTTCATTACAAATATAAAAATACATTTTACAATTGATAAAGTCTATTTTTCATATTTCAAAAGTGATTTATTATAATACCTTTTCCTCCTATTTTGAAATTCAAATAATTAAAAACAGTATACGTTTTTAACAAAATATCCCTTGAAAGGTGAAGAATAAAAAAACACAAAAAACAAGCCTTAATGTGGGGATTCCAAAAAACAAAAAGAAAAACCTCTACATGCAACACCGAGCTTCTATCCAGCTACTCTAATCCTAGTTTTCCAAAGGTTCCTATCTAGGGCCATATCCTCAAGTCCTAAATCCTGCCTAATCACCTCCTTCTAATTCTTCCTAGATCTACCCCTTCCCCTACTTCTCCCGATTACCGTAATCCTCTCGCATCTCCGTACAGGGGCGTCAGCATCCCGCCGTCTCACATGGCCAAACCATCTCAACCTCGCTTCCCGCAACTTGTCTTCCACCGGTGCCATACCTACCTGACGTCGGATAATTTCATTCGAAATCCTATCCAACCTTGTCTTCCCACACATCCATCGTAACATCCGCATCTCCGCCGCATGCAGATGACGCACATGAGTCTTCTTAACCGCCCAACACTCTGCCCCATATAACATAGCAGGTCTGACTACGGATCGATAGAACTTACCTTTCATTATAGGCAAAATCTTCAGATCACACAACACCCCTGAAGCTAACCGCCATTTGGCCCAAGCCACTCCAACCCATGTCCAACATCCGCATCTAACTCCCCATCCGCCTGGATTACCGAGCCAAGATATCGAAACTTGTCTACCTTAGGTACTAGGTGAGAGTCAATCCTGACTTCCACCTCTGATTCTGTATCCCGGCCGCTGAAACGACATTCCATGCATTCAGTCTTGTTCCTACTTATTCTGAATCCTTTAGTCTCAAGGGCAAGGTGCCATAATTCCAACTTATCGTTTAGTCCCTCACGCGTGTCGTCGATAAGCACAATATCATCCGCGAAAAGCATGCACCATGGGACCCCATCTTGAACACCTTGAGTTAGGATGTCCATCACCAAGGCGAACAATAAAGGGCTAAGGGCAGACCACTAGTGCAACCCGATCCCTACCGAGAAGGAATCTGAGTCGCCCCCGGAAGTCCTTACCTTGGTCATAGCCCCATCATACATATCCTTGATCCCGCGAGTGTACACGATGGGAACTCCTCTTGCCTTAAGGAACCTCCATAAGACCTCCCTTGGCACCCTATCATACGCCTTCTCAAGGTCAATAAACACCATATGAAGGTCCTTCTTTCTAGCCCTATACTCTTCCATTAACCTCCTCACGAGATGAATGACATTTGTAGTCGATCTGCTAGGCATGAAACCAAACTGGTTCTCAGAGATGCAAACCCCTTTCCGCACCCTATACTCAATGACTCACTCCTAAACCTTCATGGTGTGGCTAAGCAGTTTGATGCCTCTGTAATTCTCACATCTCTGAATGTCACCTTTGCCTTTAAACAGAGGGACCAAGAGACTCTCCCTCCACTCATCAGACATCCTTGTCCGGAGGATAACATTGAAGAGTTTGGTTAACCAAACCCACGCACCACGACCCGCATGCTTCCAAAACTCCACCAGAATCTCATCTGGTCCCAAAGCTCTCCCACTACGCATCACGCGGAGAGCCCAAACCACCTCTTCCAGGCAAATGCGCCGGCAATACACACGAGACGCCCTAGGATGTCCCAACTCATCAAGAACTAGCCTCTGGTCTCCTCCCGCATTTAAGAGTTCACTAAAGTACTCCCCCCAGCGCTTAGCCACCTTGGCACTCTCAACTAACACTCTACCATTGTTGTCCTTCACGCATCTCACGTGGTCTAGATCTCTGGCCTTCCTCTCACGCACCTTAGCAAGCTGGAACAATGGATTAACACTGCCTTTCTCCTCAATATCCTTGTAGAGGCGTTCAAAAGCGGCATTCTTTGCCCTCGTTACCTCTAACTTAGCTTCTTTACGTGCTTTCTTGTACTCCACTCGTAACGCCGCTCTTTCCTCCTCAAAATTGCAGCCCATGTACCTCAAATATGCCACCTTCTTAGCTTCCACCTTACTTCGGACTGAATACGCTTTTCCCATTCGAGCTGCTTGTCCAACGATTACAGAAATGCATTTCATGGATATATAGTAATATTAAGTACATATACCTATAAGTATATATAAAATTACAAAATTTGAGTGGGGCCGCGTGCCCCCGTATGACTCGACGTGGGTCCGCCCCTAGACGGAGGGAGTATATATGATATTAACATAAATTTTATATACGATATTATTCCATAAAACATGCCCTCATGTTGAATCACGTATCGAACAAATGCCCACCTTGTGTAAGAAGAACTCGAACTCACACTTTCCTAGTGCTTTGGTGAAGATATCAACCAATTGAAGATGTGTCCCTACATGTGTGGCTTTGATCGACCCATCAACAATCATTTTGAATAAACTTACAATTTACTTCAATATGTTTTGTTCTATCATCAAACACTGAATTTGCTCAAATATGTAGAGTCGCTTCATTATCATAGAGGCCTCTTATGTATCACCTGTAATGACACCAAGAATGACCAGATCCAAAGTTTTTTTTGCTGAAATCAACATCGGCTAAAATCTAAGTTTGTTCTATAATGAAATCTAAAGCTGATTTTGTTCTTGATTTGTAATTGGGGCTATATTTTCTGTCGGCTGGTTTCTCTCCTCTTGATAGAAGTTAACTCTATCAACTATTAATCTTGCATGAATTTATAAGTAATTATACGAATAATATTGAATAAGAGAAAAATATATTGAACTCAACGATTAGAAGAACAAAACCCCAGCCTCCATAACCGAACTCCTTGGAGGTATTTATAGTTCTCGCTCTAATATGTTTTCTAATGCTATTAGATTTCTCTTAGAAAACTTAGCTAAACCTTTGTCAAAGTATCCAAACCTAGTTAGCTACACTCTCCCCATCTAATTACACATATGCCTTTCAGCCTGGATGTGTTCAACCCATCAATCCGCCATTGGGTTTGCTCCTCGGGTATGGGCCTTGGTGTCATGTTGGTTAATAAGGGTACATATTTGGCTAATTACATTAATAATTATATCTTTCCCAATATATCAAACACCTATATCCCCAATGTTTGGCTAATGTACAAATGGTAGAGGATGTCAGGGTGACGATGGATCGGGAGGCTGTGGTGGCAGAGCGAATTGGCTAGGGCGGCTGAGAACGAGATGCATGTCTGACACTCTCGTAGAACCATATGCATGCTCCACAACCATAACGAACACACCCATGATAACAGAACGATGGTTAGTTTAAACTTTTGTTTGGTATATCGTCATTTACATAAACGGCAGTGAAATTCAAAGACATCGCACTCTACTGAACAGCTGGTAAAGAAGATATACCCTACAAAGAGTAGGTTCAAAGGCATAAAGCCTACGTGTTCTTGTAGTTTTTAGCTGTAGAGTTTTTGCCAAACACATGGATCAATTTTCATTCATGTAGGGGATTGTTGGAATTTTTGGATTATAATGGGACAACTTCGGACATAAATTTGGTGGGGTCCATGAAATTATTTCTTCAAAATAATTATGGACAATTAATCTCCCAAGTGAGATAAAGTTCAGTTGAATGAGAAATTAATCACATCTAAGTCGAACGCTTGGAAACAGTAAAACCATTATCCCACATCTGATTTGAAACCTTTCAACTTCCACTATTTATATGCTAACATGGAATTGCATTGTAAAGCAATTTGAGAAGAAGGAAAGAAAGGACCCGGCCTCATACACCGCCATCATCCGTCTAGCTCGGCTTGGCACGTCACAACCTGCACGCACGAACGCGTGTTGGCTTGTGTTAGCGCGCAATGCATCGTGATGTGGTGAGGGCGTGGGACAACTCTTATCTTTTTATGGGATCAATTTGAATGCGAGTGGGCAGTTTGTTATTAACAAAGCGGGTTAGTCATGCATGCACTCGTGTATGCAAGTGGGCACTAAAACGGAAGAGTCTCTCACTCTCCTATATAAGGAGCATGAATCCACATCAGCGAGACACTCAAACCAAAACCTTCTTTACGTTCCCAAAGGATCCAACTCTCTGAATTTCTGATCATCTTCTCTGGCGAGTAGCTTTCCGTTGTTTTAGTTTATCGGCGCACCACTTTACCTCTCTAGACTTTGCACGTAAGTGATTTTATCCTGGGATGAGATCGTCCACGTTAGCCAGTGCGGGAGGCGGGTAATACTACCTTAAGGAAAGCTCTGGCAACTCCGCTTTCCTTAATTTTTTTCTAGAATCCGGCGGCATTCAATTAACCTTTTGCAGAATCTTTTCATCCTATGTATTTTAGCAGTCTATTTTTTCTCAATTGTAAATCCGAACAGTTTATAAGTTCAGATCTTTTTATTTTCTTTTCCCACTATAAACTTAAATTCTTACAACACCATCCATCCCCACCTACATACTCCGGCCCACCCCAACTTGCCAACCCCCATATACGGCCATACGCTCACCCCTACAGCCACCTCATTCCACCGTCTACCCTTGTCCACCACCCCCTTCCCCCATGCACCCTTGCCCGCCTCGAATATGTCTATTCTTTAAAGATCAAAAATTAATCTTTTTAATGTTTATTTTCCTTTCTAAGAAATAATAAAAATAATTTTCTTGAAGAAAAATTACTGTTATAATTTTTGTACGGATTACAATGGATAGGGAAGATGAACGGCCTCAGAAAATAAAAAATAAATAAAATTCTGAATTTATAACTTATTCAGAATATTACAACATAAACAAAGTTGAAAATAAATTTCTGTATCTTCTCAAAAGGTCTCGTTGTATGAGGATATTAAGCACTGGACAACGAGGTTATTATGCATTGGACAGCGAGGTCATTATGCACTGGGCTGCGAGGATATTATGTCCTAGGGCAGAATGCAGCGAGGTCTTTATGAACTAAACTTGCAAAACAAAACACCGTGAAGGACAGCGGAGTCGCCGGAGCTGTCCTTAAGGTAGTAGTGCCCGCCTACCGTACCGGAAAAACATGGGCACTCTCCTCCCAGGATAAAACCGCTATCGTGTGTGGAGATTGTACGGACCACCCACACACCAACGAACAAGAACAACGTAGGAACGTTGGCGATCAAAAAAAAACTTTGAAGGGATTGCCGGAAAGTTGACTGGAAAATCAAGAGCTCTCTCTAAAAAAACAAGAAAGTATTTCCCTTTCTTTTTTTCTTTCTCACGCATGACACCACCCACTACTAAAGAGAATGGAGAGAGCCTTTGATTTTATAACCAAGCCAATTAAAAATGTAACTCCTACACCATAAATCCATGGCATTTGTGGCACACTTAATACCGTATTAATGGTGATTAATTAGCCATTAACACGTCCGTTACGCTACACTCCGTTTAAAATTTGTCCCGAAAAATTAGAGATTAATGGCCAGTTAACTCCGTAAGAAAGGACTAATTTTAAACAATGCGTAAAATTAATAAAAGAAGATTGGTTCAGTAAAATTGCAAAAATTGCAATTCTTACCATATTCTTTTATTAACGGGTTAACTCTGAGAATCAATTTCTCATTCACCCTCTACCATTTTTGGCATATAAATTATCAAAACATTTATTTCATTTAAGAGAGCACACGTCCATTAATTAACGGTTAAAATCGTTAGTGGACCTATTGATAACTATACCCAAAAATTCCAACAATTACTTCTTAAGAAATCACCCTCCATAACACTCTAACTCACCCTAAATTACGCATCTAGCACTACTTATTCTTTTAAACAAATCTAGCACTTTTTTGTGTCAATCCTTTACTATCATACCCTTTTAACCTTTTTCCTTAAAAAATTACGCCACTCCCTCTCGCGCACGTACTCTTCATCGACGCACCTACTCTGTTCTTCATCCCCCCCGATCATGCATCCTCAGGCCTTCTCCCACTATTCCTGCCCCGATCAGCAGCGGCAATCATCAGGTTATCTCGGATTCCTTCACCGATGTGGCTAATCATTTTCTCTTCTCCTTCAATTTTTAATTTTCATATTTTCTATCCTTCACCCCTTTATTCGGATTTCCATGTATTTTTAGTTTTAATTATTGTGTTTTCTTCGTACTAAAGATTAGGTGTTGTGAAATCAACTTTGAAATACCTAGTATTTGTCCCTTTTGAAAAATTAGGTCTCTTGAAAGACATTGTGTTTTTGGCAATGTGATTTTGGCACTGTCAAGATTAGGTGCTATGGTGTGGGCAGTGTAAAGGTTAAATGCCTAGATGTTGTCCTGCATTTTTTGTTTTATTTATTTTCTATTTTTCTTCGTAGAGAATGTTTAACTTAGTGGCATATGTAAATTAGGCAGTGTATTTGAAATAATCAAGCTGTGGCAGTGTACCTAAAACTTTGGCTTAAATTAGGCATTGCAGTGTGGTCAGCATATACGATAGTTTCTAAGCAATGGTTTTGTGAACTTTTGGTATGATTAAGCTTCTTGATGATGATTGGAAACCATTGCTCAGAAATTTTTTCTTACCACTTGTATTAACTAGTTATCCTATTGCTTTTTCACCTAAAAATGTAAAATAAGAAACACGTTTTTTGTTCTCTTATATGGTATTTATAGTTTTAATTAATAGATTAAGCTAAACTTTGTACTATCATCACTTTTGGGACAAGCACCTAACCTTTTTTAATCATTCCTGTTGCCTTCATTTTCTGTTTTATAGGTTTGACTCAATCCA